CTTATTCATGACAGTGATTTCAAACAACTCTTGTCAATAGATGTGTAAGATTTTGATTTGTGTTGGTTTCAGAAAATGCTTTATCAGTGCAAATGAAAGCATACATTTGGTACTAAAAATAGCTAAATTTGTATTTAAAAACTTCATTGTTGGGTGTACTTGTTGGTAGTTTTGAGCTTCAAATGACTTGTGTAGTTGTAAACTTTTGCTACTGATGTGGTTTCAAAGGGGGGATAAATATTAAGAGTAGACTTTAAATTTAAATTGGTTTACTTAAAGTGGAGTGCCTATATCGTTTTAGTATTGAAGTAAGCTGGATGTTCTTATAACTGGGAGTTAACAAATAAGTATGAAATAAAGGTTCAAATAACTTTCTGTGACGTTATCTTCTGTAAACACTTGGAAGAACAGAACTGGAAACCCATTTTAATTCCTTATTTTCAACTCACAAAAAACTTGAAATATTTTCCTGAGTAAAAATTTACATTTAAGCAGTTACTCTGCTTAAGTGTAATAATTCAGAAATAACTTGACAAAAGCACCAGATTATAAAAGACTGTCAGCAGCTGAGAAAAATGGAGCGCCGAGAACTTTCCTTTTCTTCATTCTCAGTAGTCCTTAGGTGACTTATGGATCTGGTATCAAGTCATTCCCTAACTGTGGGTCTAGGTCATCAGTCTCCCATCCATAGTTGGGGAATTGGGAGTAACATTCATGCCTCTGTTATATTTTTTGGAGGGAGTGGTCTGATTATTTGTCAGATGACGTTGTCAGGATTAACCTTACAAACAGGCTCTGATATTCAATGTTTCTTTCATACTGTGGTGCCAAAATATTTCTATGAAAGATTTCATTTCTTTGAAGAGGATCCTGAATGGGGAGAAGAAGGACACAGGAAAGACAAATTTTATAACTTTCTTGATTTTGATCAAATTCTATAGTTTTACCCATTTTAAGCCAGGATTCTCCAAGCATTTTGACAAAAGGAGTAACTTTTATTTCCACTAGGTCTTGCTGTAACAGGAAGTGGGGACAGAAAAATTTCAAAATGGCAAATTTGAATGGGTTCATTAAAAAAAAAAAAAAAAGGGGGTGGGTGGGGATAGCTCAGTCATTTTTTCCAGAAAAAGTTCCTAGGTCAGCAAGGTGACTTCTTCAGCCAAGTGCGCTCTGCTTTTGTAGAGTCATGTAGTTTTATCTACCAAGAATGCTGCAGCCTACTAGGTTAGGAATACGGCATACCTTATCCCTTACCAAGGCCAGAGGGAGAATCAAGTAGCTATTCGGAGAGAAGCAGACTGCCTGGGTTCCGAGTGGTGCCACTCGAGTGCCAGGGTCAGCCACTGTCTATCTAGTACTAATAAAAAAAAAATCACAAAGTCGCCACTGTCGAGTTAATTCTCACTCGCAACAAGCCTACAGGACAGAGCAGCACTGCCCGCCGCCCCTCAGGGTTTCTGAGGCTGTGAATCTTTATGGGAGCAGACGGCCACATTTTTCTCTCATGGAGTCTGCAGGATTCCAACCGCTGACCTTTTGGTTAGCAGTTAAATGCCTAACCACTGTGTCAGCAGGACACCTCCAATTATAATGCCCCCTGTTGAAACTAGTTAAAAGGAGTCCTGGTGGTGCAACGGCTAAGCGCTTAGCTGCTAACCAAAAAGTCAGCCATTTGGACCCTCAAGCAACTCCATGGGAGGATGTGGCAGTGTGCTCCCATAAAGATTCACAGCTTTGGACATCCTATCCGGTCCCCGTGAGTTGGATTTTTTTTTACTTTTACTTGTTACATTGCGTGTTTTCTGTGACTTGCAAAACAATCGGGAAAAAGGTTCAAAAGTCAGGGAAGCCACCAAACCTCAAAAACCCACTGCTGTTAAGTTGATGCCAACTCACCACATCCCTATGTGTTACACAGCAGAACTGCTCCAATGGGTTTTCTGGGCTGCAATCTTTATGGAAGCAGAACACCAGGCGTTTCTTTTCTTTTGCAGCATTGTTGGGAGGGTCCAACCCAATTGCTAATCTTTAGGTTGCTAGTGAGTGCAAACGGTTTGTGTCATGCAGGGATCTTAGGGCGCTACCAGTCTCAATAGTCTCCAAATGGACTCAACAGGTGAGGCAAACAGTGAACACATTCATCTGCTAACAGAAAGGTTGGCGGTATCAGCCCACCAAGAGAAGAAAGGCCTGGCAACCGAGTCGTGAGAAATCAGTCTCCTAAGCACAGTTCTACGCTGAAATGCACGGGGTCGCCATGAAGTAGAAACGACTCAACAGCAACTGTTTTTATTCCACAAATAAACAAGATACTAAGAACAAGTGGGAATCCAGTTGCACAGACAGTAGAAAATGTTAGATACACAAATGTCAGGTCTCATAACCAAGTAGAACATCACTGCAGGAGCAAGTGTGCTTAGCGCCCATCTCCCTTCTTTCACTATTACAGTAACTCTAACCCTCTGCTGCTGTTTTGACAGGCCACTTGCTCCCAGGTACCTTCTCCATAGTGGTCATCTGTTCTCTGACCACCTTTCCTATGTGGGTCTTCCTCCTTCTCTGTCTGCTCTATAATCATACTTCCTGGGAGAGGCTCTAATGGGAATAGTCAAGTCCAATGTAGCTATCCTGCCAGGGATAACCTCACAGGCCTCTAACCAGATGGGATCTAGGCACAGGGAATCTTTCTGTGCTGACCGCTCAAAAGGGGGTTGTGAGGACAGTGGGAACAAAGAATCTTATGTGCTGTGCTGCTGCTGCTGTGTGCCGTGGAGTTGGTTCCGACCCATAGCGACCCTGCACAGGGTTGCCGAGGCTGTAAATCCTTATAGGAGCAGAACACCTCATCCTGGTAGTTTTGAACTGCTGACCTTGCAGTTTACAGACTGATTCGTAACCACTACAGTACCAGAGCTCCTTTGTGCTGTAGAATGTAGAATACATCACCTGTGCTGTGAACTCAGGCAGGAAGGAAATGGGAAGCCAATAATAATACATGGCTAGAAACAACTATATAATATTTTGGGATCCAGGAATTAATATTTTTCAATGTTTAAATGAGTCTACTAAAACTCAAACTAACTATATTTTGGAGTCTTGGTGTGGCACTGTGAGTTAATGTGCCAGACTGCAAGATTGGTTTGAACCGCAGGGTCGGCAATTCAAATTCATCAGCCACTCCTCAAAAACCCTACGGGGTGGCTGAGTCAGAACTGACTCAAAGGCACTTAACACCAACTATGTTTTAAAAATGCATGTAAGTTCAGTTTTCCAAATAGTGCCCCTCCAAGAAGAATTTCATGAAAAAAAAAGTAATTGAAAACAAACTTCTATTTTAAAACTGTTGCAATGTTGGAATCCGTAGATTCTAAATCTATGTTGACAACCAGGATTTTGTAGAACCCAGACTCAACGGTTGTTTACAAGCAAAGGGCACTGGGGATATCAAGTCTGGTTTATTTCTACATTTATACTTTCTATTTGTAAATGAATCAACATTATAAATGTTTTCATTTAAATACTACAAGCATTGATACATAGAATTCACATGTTGGTATTAAGTGCCATAGAGTCGGTTCCAACTCTTAGAGATCCTGTACAGGGTCTCAGAGGAGTAACTGGTGGGTTTGAACTGCCAACCTTGTGATTAGCAGTCCAGTGCTTATTTTACAGGGTCACATCAGGACTCCAGAATTCACATTAACATCACTTATTCGGGGCCCTGAATAACTTTTATGAGTAAAGGGATCCTGAGACCCCAAACTTTTTGAGTCCCAGTCTCCGGCACCCAATATTTATCATGTACCACTTAGCATCTTAAATCTGTCTCTCCTGAGTTGTTAACTGCTGAGTCAGCAATGCTCGACACTCAGGTGCTCAGTTTGTCCACTTACAAAACTGAAACTGGCTCTTCACTTTCAACAGTGTTTCTAATCTCTAAATAAAGTTCTGGTTACAGTAAAAGAATGTTGTGTTTTTCTAAGAGACTGCCAAAGGGGCAGATTCCGATACGGGCGTTTAACACTTCCAAGTCGCTTTTAGTTTCAGGATTGAGCTTGAGCATCCCTAACACCTCGAGTATACGAGACAGGCAACTGCCGCTCCACCTTATTCCCTAGAATCCAACTTCAGACTAAGGAAGGAAAATGACAGATAAAGGAGAGACCGGGAAAAGGAGGTTGGTCCTTTCACCCGTCACTCATTCATTCATGCACTCAACTCACGCATTCAAAACAACCTCCGTGCCTGGTGACCAAGTTACCAAAATACACAAGTGCTGGCGCCTATCCTAAAGAGGACATAAGTAGGCGACAGACATGGTTCTTGCGCTGGGAGGAGCCTTCAGGTGTAGGAGCCGAGACTTTTGGTCCAAGTGAGAATCCTCCCCGGCCCGTTCCACCTACTTCTTCAAGATGGCGCCCGCCAGGGAGGACGGTTCCCACGCCTTCCCGCTACCACCCGGCCGTTCCGCCGGGACCCACAGTCGAGTCCGGCGTACTGAGCTGCTGCGGGAAGGAGGAATGCCATTGCACCCCGTGCCGGCCCGCGGTAGCCCGATGGGAGCGTCCCAGCACGGGAAACCGCGCTCCCAACATTCAGCTCTCGGTCTCAAGCAGCCACTGGCGCGTCGGCGCCTGCTGACGTCATGGGGGTGTGTCGGCGCTATTCGCGACGTCTGACGTGCCGACTATGGCTACTGCGTCAGCCAGACCCGGGCTCCGTTTGGAAGTCTTTTTTTTGACGCTGTCGCGGGAGCCGCAATCGCTTTAGACCGCTCGGCGGCGGTGGCGCGCGCGCGCGTTCCCGCGGCGCCCTGGACGGAGCCTGGCGGAGGCGGGGAGTGAGCCAGGTGGGCGGTGGCGCGCGCGCGCGCGCTCGGCGGGCGGCCCCGCGTCCCGGGGGCTGCTGGGGCGCCGCGGGAGGCGGGCCGGGGGCGCGGCGGCCGCGCGGACCTCTCAGTCTCCACTGCACTCTCTGTCCTCTTGGCCTCTTCACTGGCAGGACCCTGCCCCGTAGCTAAGTCGGAAACATGAGCGGCGGCAACTTGAGTGAGAACGAGGAGTTTGATGAGCAGTTGCGGATGCCAGAATTGTATGGAGAGCCCAAGGAAGGCGACCTCCAGGAAAATCCCAGCGAAGAAGCTCATTCTTTGGGACAGCAATCCTCTGACACCCCTTACGAGTGGGATATGGACAAGAAAGCATGGTTCCGCAAGGTAAGAGTGACTCGGGTGCCGCTGCGGAGCGGGCCCGCCTGGCCAGTCTTGCGGGGCGCTCCGTTTACGTTTTCTTTGCTGAGGTCCTTGGTTAGAACCCCGTGGCTAGAGACGCTTCTTTTTTGTTGTGCCTATTGCAAAACCGATGGTTACAAGAGTATAAATCTTTACAGAGATGGCGCAAATGTAATTCTTAAGGCTTTTCTGTGTCTTATTAATGTTATCTGTGAAGGTCAGAGTTGACTATTAACATTAGTGACAATTTTTTATTGCAAAGAGGAAAAACTGTTGATCTCAGGTAGCCAACCTCACTTATCCCGGGAATTCAGAGTTTTCGTTTATGAATGATGTGCAGACTGCATTTTCTTGATTAGTAATAAAAAGTAGCACTTTTTATATCTTTACTGGATGAACTTTGTCGGTGGCACTCTTTCTTTCCTACTGAATTTTGTATCTAGCATACATATGTTAGAACCGTCTAACCACAGGAAGATGACTAGAGGTACCCAGAACATGGATGAAAAAGATCTGTGTAAATTTGTCTAAAGTACTTGAAAATGTTATGTGTTTTACTTGAGCTTGAAAGTAAAATAACTAGTGTTAACATCGATTCCGTAAGCATGGCAGTGAACCAACCCCACTGCCATAGACTAGATTCGACCGAGACTGTAAATCATTACATGAGCAGCCAGCCTCAGCTTTCTCTCATGGAGTGCCAAGCTTGCAGTCAGCAGTCCATCAACTAGCCCACTATACCACCAGTGATCGTTATGGCACTAAAGGTACCCTGTTAGTTAAGTCTCTTGTTGTTATTGTTGTTAAGTGCCTTGGAGTTGATTCCCACTCATAACAACCCCATATAGGGTTTCCAAGGAGTGGCTGGTGAGTTTGAACCACTGACTGTGCTGTTCAAATGGACCTTGCGGTCCAGTGCATTATTCACAGTGCTATACCATGACTCCTAAGTCTCATATAGATGGGGGGGAAAGATTTTAGTAGTACACTAATAGTGAAGTTTTCAAGGATTTTACTTGGATCCACATCCAAAGCTCATGGAAGCAGCAGTCAGGAAATTAAAGGACTTACTGACTTTTGTAAATCTGCTGCACAAGACTTCTTTAAAGTGCAGTTAGGCTCAGTCAGAGGACTAAGGTGTGCCTGACTCAAGCCATGGTATTTCCAGTCACCTCATATGCATGTGAAAGCTGGACAATGATTTCAATAAACCTTGAAGTATTGTTTTGGAGAAGAACACCCCATGGAAATTCACAAGAATGAATAAATGTATCTTCGAAGGAATACAGCCAGAATGGGAGACTTTCTCTCACATACTTCGGACATGTTATCAGGAGGGAAGCAGTTCTTGGAGGAGTACATCGTGTTTAGTAAAACAGGATCAGCGAAATGAGGAAGACCCTTGGTGAGGTGGATTGACACGGTGACCACAACAGTGGGCTGAAACAGCAGTGACTATGAGGATAGTGCAGTATCTGGCAGTATATTTCCTTCTGTTCCACATCCGATTGCTATAAGTTCAAATCGACTCAACATACACAACAACAGCGCGCTAATTGACTTACAAAAGCCTATAAGGAAAAAGTGCCTTCATGGTGTAACTTCACTGTTATTTAAATATGATTTCAACTTTTTTCGTTTTGCACTTGTTCGTATGTTCCAATCCTTCCTAATTGTTAAGATTCACTATTGTGCTCCTTCCTGTATTGGTAGTAATAGCTGAAGTACAATTTTGGTTCCTTCCCCTGCTTTCTGAGTACTTTGAACAGTAGTCTGATCATGAATTAATTTGTGGCGATCTTTCTTTATTCTATAGAAGCTCTTATTTCGCCAAACTTTGATTCTCAGATTTCCTCATTTCTCTGTGTGCCTACTGTTGATTGGTATGAAGACAGGACTATACTTTTTTCCATTGGACATTGGTACTTCTTAAAAGTCAGAGACATAGATGTGAGTTGGGTTTGTTCTGACACTAAGTAAATGATCATGTGATGTAATCATTGACAAAGTTAAAATGATCATTTACTTTTGCGATTGTTAGCCCATTCTCTGTGCACTTAATCAGGCTGCCATTCTGTGGGCTCTCCACATACAGATCGTTGAGTACTTTCTGTCCATACACATTGGTGAATCTATACAGTAAGAGAAAAATTTATTCTTTCTGATACTGTTCATATCCAAAGTTCCAAGTCAACTATTCGTTTGTATTCTGCTACACTGTAACTGTTAACTGGCACTTTCTTTGTTACCTGTACTTGTAGAAGTACATTATTCAAGTAGAATGTAGAGAGGTGGTAACTTATAAAGACAATTAGAAAAGGTAATGATATCACTTTGCAATGTTGTAATAGTGTCAGACTTTCGTGTTCATAATCCAAGTACCCATGTCCTGTGTTTGTTTGTTTGTTTTAATCATTTCAGGCACAAAGTGGCTAATCTTGCATTCAGGAGCCCTGGTGGCCCAGTGATTAAGTGCTCAGCTGCTGCCAGAAAGGTTGGCAGTTCTAACCTACCAACTGTTCCTTGGAAGAAAGCTATGGCAGTCTGCTTCCTTAAAGATGACAGCCTTGGAAGCCCTATGGGGCAGTTCTACTCTGTTCTATAGGGTCGCTGTGAGTCATAATCAACTTGATGGCAGTGGGTTTGATTTTGGGGGTGACTCTTCTGTTTACACTTGAACTGCTACAGCTAATTTATATAGCTGAATATGCTGTAATGGTATACAGTGGAAAGTGTATATGGGAGAAAATCAACTTGAATTTCTGTAAAAGAGTGTGCTGAATTTCTTATTTAGATCACTGAAGATTTCACTGCTCCATATCAGGCCAGTTGTGGTTTCCCTGATGATGGAGCATCAAGCTCTACTGCAGATGTACAAGATGTCAGTGCTGGTCACCCACGGGCACTTCTGCAGAGAAAACCCAGCGAGCCCACTGAACCCAAAAGGAAGGGAGAAAAAAGAAAGGCTGAATCAGGTAAGTGGTTCTAGCTTATAAAATCGGAGTCTAACATAAAAATATATGTGAGTGTGAAAGTGTGTGTGTGTGTGTATGTGTATGAGAGAATTTGGGAGAATGAAAATATCTTTGCAGCACTAATAAGATAAGTTGTTTTTTTTTTTAAGGTAGTGTCACAATCAAAAACAGTCAAGATAAACTAGCCATCTTTTTTCAGACAGGGCTCTGAAACTAGTTATCTGTCAAAAGATTCAAATACTTTGAAAGCTGGGCAGTGATTTGAGTTAGTTTGTCTTGTTCTTCGAAGGTAAGAGAAAGTTCCGGGAAGTTTGAAGAAACTCATATTGTCAAGATTTCATAATGTGACTCTTAACTTTCCTTACATATGTTTTACTTATTGATTTCATTTTGTTCTTTAGGATGGTTTCATGTTGATGAAGACAGAAATACAAATGTATATGTGTCTGGTATGTATACCTCTTTAAATAAATCTAACATAAAAATATGTTTATCTTTGAGATTTCCCACAAAGTGGATTTTAGGATTCAGTTATCTAGAGTCCATATTTTGCCATTCTGTCAGTATAACTTTCTGTTCAGCTGTGTGCATCAGTGAGAGATATGATTGTTGTTTATTACAGTACTAAGCAAAACACATGAAACGTTGCATGCCATCCTTTCTGTTTGCTTTCGATAATTTATGGCAACTTACCCCTTCAGGTTCTGTGATACAAGGCTTACAAGAACCAAAGACAAAACCCACTGCCATTGTCTCAGTTCCAACTCATAGAGACCCTATCTGGGGTTTCTGACAATGTAAATCTTCACGGGACAGACAGCCTCATTGTTCTCCCAAAAAGCAGTGGTCAGTTTGAGTCACTGACCTTGTAGTTAACAGCCTGTTGCCTAACACATGAAAATGGTGGAATTTCCTGAAATCTGTAGATGTGAAATTTTTACAGAACATTTAGGGGGAAAAAAATTTCATTCACCTAAGTTACATATTTCTAATGGATAATCTCACCTTAATTGTAGATACCATTATAAAAGTGTTTTCTTAATTTTTATTAATGTTATAGGTTTGCCTCCAGACATTACAGTGGATGAATTTATACAGCTCATGTCCAGATTTGGTATTATTATGAGAGATCCTCAAACAGAAGAATTTAAGGTCAAGCTTTACAAAGATAATCAAGGAAACCTTAAAGGAGATGGACTTTGCTGTTATTTGAAGGTTAATTATGTGGTCATACTTCCATTTGTAACTCAGGAATCAAAACTATTAACTTTTGCATCAACTCTAATTCATAGCAGTGTATCACAGTGGTAAGGTTTGTTCATTAGGGAAAAGTGTTATATATAAATTACATGTGATGTAATCAATTAAGAACACATTTTTAAAATCCTAAGACGACTGTATATAGGGTCTCCAAGGCAGTAAATCTTTACGGGAGCAAAAAGCCTCATCTTTCTTTATAGATTTGGCTGGTAGATTTGAACTGCTGACCTTGCAGTTAACAGCCCAGAACATGCCCACTATGCTATCAGGGCTCCTTTTGGATGTGTATTTAGATCTTCATTGTGTGTATGGTCATGATTCATGTATAAAGTCCCGAAGTTTCATTTCAGTGCATAGTAACTTATGGACTGTGTTCTGTTTTACTTTATAAAGAGAGAATCTGTGGAGCTTGCATTAAAACTTTTGGATGAAGATGAAATCAGAGGTTACAAGTTACATGTTGAGGTGGCCAAGTTTCAACTGAAGGGAGAATATGATGCTTCAAAAAAGAAGAAATGCAAAGACTATAAGAAGAAACCGTCCATGCAACAAAAGTATGTATGCTGTTTTGTTCTTGAAAGGTTTTCTATACATATAGTAGCATGTTTCTGTGAATAGCCACCTAATTTTGCTTCATCAAATAGGCGTACATTTGATTTTATAGGAATTGCATTAGTAAATGAGTAATTAGGTAAGGGAGACTTAGTATTGGTGGTGGTTTTCTTTTTCTCGGGGGTTAATTTGTACTTGAACAAGGGCTTAAAAGAACTCATCTCTTTGGAAAATGCTGGACATCAGATCCAAATAAAAATGTTTAGTCTTTTTTTTTGTTTTTTAAGTTTTTATTTATGCAGTGAGTGAAAGTTAACAGGGCAGATCCTAAGTTCTACATTCAACATATCACACACCTTGTTTCGTTACAATGGTTATAATCCCCTCCATGTACCATCAGTTAACAGTATTTCTCTCTATTCATTTTAGCTGTTGTTTTTTTTAACACTCAGGCATATATAATAATTTACACCACCAAAGGGCACATTCTTCAAGTCTGCCAATCACCTTACACTGAAGAGGATCTGTTTGTAAAATGGAGATAAGAAAAGCACCTTCCTCATATGGGTAGGCAAAAGGGGATGATGTACATGAAGAACCACTCCTGGCTGCCAGCTCTTAGTCCCTCATTTCCCATGAGTCTAGAGTCCTCAGCTGCTCCTTCTGTCCATGTCCCCATCTCTGCCTCCATCTCTGGTGTCGCTGCTTCTCTGAATAAGGTCCCGCATTCCACTTGTGCTCTTCTCCCTTGATGGTCCTAGGGTCTTTTGTAAGATTAACCACTCTCCCATTTTTGTTACAAAACTTCTACCTTCACAATTGTGACGATCTCAATTAGTCATGATAACGATTACTCACTATTGAATCATAAGAATCTTATCCCCATCTCTTTTTTTATTTTATTTTATTTTATTTTATTTTTTATTAAATGAAAAATGTTTAGTCTTGCATACAAATCTGGTGGTTCATTTTCAATGTACATTGAAATCAACTACATTGGGAGTTAAATTTTACATACAGATTTAATAGCAGGAATTAGAAAATAGAACAGATCATTTTTATCATAATAGTTTCTATGACTACATGTGTCCTATATACATAATATATTCATTTTTGTTTAACAAATTTATGTGATACACTTTAAATATGTTCATTTTAAGAAATTAGCCAGCATTCTGATGACACTTCTAACACTGTGCCTAAGCCAAACATGTGATGCCAATTAGTTTTACACAACTACTTAAAACAAGTGCATTTTATAACAATATCAGTAAACTTGAAGGTGGTAACAGAGTGTTTTTGCATTTCACACATATTTCAGTATAGTTTGATCTTTATAACCATATAAAATCCTAGAACCCAGCACAATTTAAAAACTGTTTTAGCCTCAAAGTTTCTCTTCCTAAATAGTCATAAATATCAAGTGATCATCCATTTTTCAGGAGTCTCATTGGAATGATTACAGTCGAGACAGCAGTTGCTCTGAAAACAATATTTTCTTGGAATTTCAGATATTGGGTCCATTCTCATCATTAAACACTTAATAAAGGTTTATATTAATAGCTCATTTTATCTCTCTTTCCATTCCCATTGCCGTCGAGTCAGTTCTAACTCATAGCAGCCTATAGGACAGAGTAGAATAGAACTGTCCCGTGGGGTTTCCAAGGCTGTAAATCTTACAGAAGCAGACTACCACATCTTTATCCTACAGCTGGTGGGTTTGAACCACCAATATTTCAGTTAGAAGCTGTGCTATAACTACGACACCACCAGGCTGGCACCATGAAGTACCCACAGATAAGAAACAAAAGCCATTGTTTCTTGTTACTGCTTTCTTGCTTTAGGCAGTTGGATTGGCGACCTGAGAGGAAAGCGGAACCTTCCCGAAAGCGCCATGAGCAAGTTGTCATCATCAAAAATATGTTTCAGCCAACGGATTTTGAGGTAGGGAGCTATCTTCTCACTAGTGGAAACACAGATGCTTTCTTTCAAGGAAGCCCAAAGCTTACCTCACTTCATCTTCCTCATGTCACATCCTACATGTCCCTGTAGTAGCCAAGGCAGGGAAATGGATTTCCTTTTGTGTACCTCCACTGTGGTGGTGATGTTAAATGCTGTCAAGTTGGTTCTTAGTCATAGCAACCCTGTATAAGCAATAAAGCCTCAATATTTGTCCTGCAGAGCAACTGGTGTGCTCAGAGTCACTGAGCTTCTGACTGTAGTGTTTGTTTAATTGCATCCCAGGTAAAGCTGCTTATAATTTATACTGTGGCCCCAAATAGCAGCTTTTTGGTATTGTAATTTTTTTTAATCATCATTAAAAGATTCGTAGGAGTTGCTTGTGGGTTGAAGAGTGTCCATGTCATACTTGCAAATAAAAACTGTACTTGGGTGCTAAAAGTTTGACCCTTTCATAGCCTTAGCTTCATAAATTACAGCTCTTGGTGTTTACATTGTTGTTGTTAAGTTTCGTTGAGTCGGTTCTGACATAGTGGGGATTATTTTTCAGGGAATAATTTCTATCACAATCTTTAGTGGCTCTTGGAGGATTTTCTAATATTTGATCTCCATGTAAAAATCCCAACAGTAGATAAAAGAAGAAGAGCTATTAGAGAGACCTAAGGGATATTAATTTCCATTAAGATAATTGCATTGTACCTTCTATTTCTTATCTCTTTCTTGACAAAGACTGATATGATCATTAGTAGAAAAATTATTATTTTTTATTTCCTGCTTGGATTCTGAAATTTGATGATAACAAGTTATATAATGAGAAAAAACATATTTATGCTGTAAAATGCCATGTTTACAAATAATATGATTACAGCCATGCCCATTCTCATTCCTTTTATTTATGTATTTCAGCAGGGCCAAAATGGTGATCAATATTATCTTAGCTCCCTTAGAGAGGGTACAAGTGAGTCTTAGAAGAAATACGACTGGAATGCTTCTTAGAAGCAAGGCTGTGAGGCTTCAACTCACTCACTTTGGACATGTCAGGGAAAACCAGTCACTAAAGAAGGGCATCCTGTTTGGTAAAATAGAGGGTCAGCAAAAATGAGGAACGCCCTTAATAAGATGGATTGTCACAGTAGCCTCCACAATGAGCTTAAGCATCAAAGACCATGGAACTTGCACGGGACCAAGCGAGTGTATCACACATTAGTCAAAGCTGACTTGAAGGCAGATAACAAGAAAAGGTCCCCAAATGGGATGCTGCTCTCCATCCTGGCACATGATGATGTGATAGGCCTTACTGTGCATCTCTGGAGTCTGGGCAAGTTTTGAGGTCATTAGAAAGATATGCGTGATCTATTTATAATGGATGAGGGATGTCCAGCCCGCGGGCTGTATAAGGCCTTTGAGATCCCTGCCAAGGCAACTGCAGTTCCAGCCATCACATTAGGCCTGAGTTAATTAAAAGTTTGACCAGTTATAGTAGGCTAAATTTAAGTTGATAATTTTGTATGGCCCATGAATGATGTTATAAATTTTGGCAGAAAAAAACGGATCCCCACCCCTAATTTATAAGGTTGCTTGGTGTCTCTTTCGGCCAGAAATTCTGAGAAGTCTTGGATCTCTAGCAGTGGTTTTAGACTCAGTGATGATGAAGCATCTTTCGAGCACTAACTGCTTTAGAAACACTGGCCTTGCCGTTAAAAAGAATACATAACTGGATCATGATGTCTAGTATATCAGAGAGAGCCCCAGAGTTTCCTACAATTTGTTACATTTTGGTAAATGAATGGTTTTGTTTATCAAGTGACATATTTCTATTACTTGAGGTTCTTGATTCTCACATTCCAGTCTCTTCATAACACTTGAGCCTGAATAGAAATGCAAAGTTAATTCAAAGCATCTGGGATCTCTGCAGATAGAAAGACATGTGCTGTGTAGTTAAAGCTCCTCTTGTTTCTACTTCCTACCTTGTCATTGGCATAGCTAGTTTGAGTCTCGCTATCACCCTGGACAGGCTTAGCTTCTCCTGGGTTAACAAATAATTCTTTTCCCCCTAAAGCCACATTTCCTATACTTTTATCTCTACAAATTCCCTGCAGTGACTATTTTTGAGAATAGACATTTCACACTTGCAAATTCCCTGTTGTTTGAAGAGCAGACAACAAAAAAATCCCTTATTGATCAGTGAATTGTAGTTAACCTGTTAGATCATATCATTTCAACATGTAATCAGTATAGAAATATTAGTGCAATATTTTTACCTTTTTTTCTTACTAAGCCATTGAATTCCTCTGTGTATTTTATATTTAAGCACACCTCAGTTTGGACTAGCTACATTCCAAGTGTTCAGTAGCCACATGTGGCTATTGGCTACTCTATGGACAGTGCAGACTTCAATTGGAAAGGAGTGAGAAATAGGTTTTATTTCTTGCAGGGAAAGCAAACAGAACAACACCCTGGGAGACAATGATGAGCAGAGGGTTTCAGTGCATGGATGAAACAACCACATTCAGTTTGGTTTCGGTCTCAGGTCTGTTGTTTGCAATGTCATGTTTTTTAGAAAGCTCTCTGCTGAGCTAGGTCCGAAGATTGTCAGAGTGGAGGGGCCTGTTACCTTAGCTTGAAACTTCTGTGGTTTCGTCATTTCTCAGGCTGGTATACATGAGAATAAAGGGCCGGAAAGACTTTGGCTAAGGTTTGACATCCTTGTAGGAAAAAGACCTGACACTCTGGTATAGAAACAAGAGGAATGCAACCCCCATGGAATCCATTCATGAAATATTTTGAAATAATTTTTATTTGTTTTTAATATGAGGGGGGCTTCAGAAAAGTTGTCGAAAATTAGAATTAAAGATGGAGTTTCCCACGAACTTTCTGAAGCCCTCTCGTATAGTCCTAATTTTCATTGGGGACTAAAACAGAAGTATTTGAGAGAATTTTTGAAACTTGGCAGTTACCTACTATTTGCTATGGGAGAAAACCTGCATTTTCATTTCACTAAAACGGATTCCTGCCCTTGGGAAACTATACCAACCCTCAAACAACAACAACAAAACCACACCACATGACTTTCGGCAAATTATTTTAAGGCTCTGTCCCCGTTCCTCGCAGGTTTGATAATTCTATATAGAACAAATTGGTGCTGCTGCCAAAATTAGATTTTGTAAATGGGGACAATCCGGAGTGCTGCTGGAGATTGTTTTCGAAGCCTCAGATTGGTGCACATGAGTAGGGCTTTATATATATATATGTTTTTATTTCAGTAACTGTCTAGCAGTTGTTAGATTTTAGGTGAGAACTTTAGGAGGTGGTGTTCTCTCTTGTTTTGTAGTTCCGTGCATTCCCCTTTAGTTGGTGAGAGAGGAAGAGAAGCCTGTAAGAAAGGTAGATGACTTAAAATATCTCCTCATAGTGTCAAGTCCACTTAAGTAGGAATTCCTAGATAGAATACCTCATTTCTATTTGCATGTAGTTGAAATGCAAGTTGATAATGCACCTTTTTATGAGCCCTTTTCACAAAGTTGGGGCTTCAAGAAAGGTTTGTTTGCTGATTCCCACAGGGACTTTTTTAATCCTTTTGTCGGGTTGGGGTGGGGGGCTAGGGGTCCGCCTGAAGTGCAGACCACTAGAGGCAGCAGTGCTTGAGTGAGAGAATTGTTGTTGTTGTTGTTGTTGTTGTTAAATACCGTGGAGTCAGAAATGACTCATAGTGACCCTGCACAGGGTTTCCGAGGCTGTAAACCTTTACAGGAGCAGAGCGCCTCATCTTTCTCCTGCAGAACCGCTGGTAGTTTTAAGCTGCCGACCTTCAGATTAGCAGCCCGATTCGAAACCACTACGCGACTAGTGGCTAAGAATGTATACTTTTATTTAATAACAGCTTCTTCTTCTTTGTGTGGTTGTGTTGTGTGTGGTTTTGATATATTCTGAGACGAGGGCTGTGAATTAAAATAAAATCGTAGAAATATGAAAACTAATCTTAAAACATTTAAGTCAGTGAAATGGACACAGTGACAACGGCCATGACATTTCTTTACATTTCATTCCATCTCTTTAAATGAATAGCTACCCCAAATGCAAAGCCAAGGGCCCTCAGTAGAACAGGCATGGCCCCTGTGTAGAACAGAGGAGAAAGCAGCCGCCGACTTGGATGTTCCAGTGAACTTTTCTGCCTCTACAGCTGCTGTTATTGGGATTTCCTTTCAATTTTCCTGCCCTTTTCCCTTGTCGCCGCAGACTCCTCCTACTGCTGCCTTCCCTGTCCATTTCCTTTATCCCTTGGAGGCCAAGATGGCCAAACTTCGTCTCTCATACTTCGGACATGCTGTCCGGAGGGACCAGTCACTGGAGAAGGATACCATGTTTGGTAGGGTGGAGGGTCAGAGAAAAAGAGGAAGATCCCCAGCGAGATGGATTGTCCAAATGGTAGCATCTATGGACTCAAGCGTGGCAACAGTAGTGAGGTTGGTCCAGGATCAGGCAGTGTTTCGTTCTGCTGTGCATAAAGTCGCTATGCGTCGGTACCAACTCGATGGCACCTGACAGCACCAACAACAAAGCCTGGCAGGCCCGTAGCAGTAGCAGAAGCAGCAGCTATAGGAATATAATTCCATTTGATTTTGGATTTTTTTTTTTTAATATACACTGCAGACAAACCTCAGGGAAATCTTTTTTACTTCTTAGTTTGTCAAAGCAAGAAAATTGATTGAAGGCAGGGGCAAACCCATTTTAATCCTATGTGTTTTTGCAGGATGATCCATTGATGTTAAATGAAATCAGAGAAGACCTTCGAGTAGCGTGTTTAAAGTTTGGCCAAATTAAAAAGCTCATTCTCTTTGATGTAAGTTTAATAGCATGGACAGATTCATCCTAAAGCAATTATTCATGAAGTTTAATAAGTTATTGCCAGATGTTCATTTTACCCCAAATGTTCAAATAATGTTTATTCATAGAAGGTCCTGGTGTGGTGCTGTAGGATAAGCATTGGACTGCTAAACAAAAGGTTAGCGGTTCACAGAAGAAGAAAGAAGAGGAAAAAAAGAGTAATCTGATACAATTTGATGAACTTGACCTACACCTATGGATGCAGTAGCTCAAAAGAGGGAACAAATCCTTACAGCAAGAATCATTCCCACTCCCTCCACACACAGAGTAGACAGAGATGGGCAACTTGGACATTGGCTACCCAAAATGGGGGGGGGGGTGCTACAAAGGCAAGAAGTGACTGGCTTACAAGCTTTCAAGAGGGAACCTAGAGCCAGGGGGCCTGGAGGAAGGCAGAATCTCCAGTGAGTAGTATCCAATCTGTCTAGGCGGAGCTGATGAAATGAAATGCAGATGGGTCTCTTGTGATTAGTGAATAATTGTTAACAGGACTGATTGTGAGGGTTGGAAATATAAAGGTAGACATTTTATAGCAAGGAAGGGAGTGATTAACTTTCCAGTCTAGGAGCAGAGGTCCCTAGGACCATCAACGGAGAAGAGCGGAGAGCAGGACCCTACCCAGAGAAGCAGTGGTGCCTGAAATGGAGGAAGAGATGATGACGTGGAGCAATGGTGCAGCTGGAGACTTTAGATCCAGAGAGGGAGAGGGGCTGTGTGCTGAAGACTGAGGTGGGGGGGTTAGTGTAGGGGGCAGGTTTGCAGGGTATACCCTTTGGTTGGTTGATGATGCTTGGAGGAGATTGTAACTATGGCAATGAAACGATATGTGATAGAATGAATGTAAAACTAACATTCTCCCATGTAAACTATCATATAATTCACAATAAAACATTAAAAAAAAAAAAAAAGGTTAGCGGTTTAAACCCACCAGCCACTCCTTTGGTCACGATGAGTCAGAAGCGACTTGATAGCACTTAACAACGACAGAGAGTAGGGCCGCTCTCTATTGGTAATCTGCTCTTAGCAATAATTGATGACCATGATTGACTTGGTGTGGCTTGGTGATTTTCCTCCATTGTCACTATGGAGTACTTGATCAGATCAAGTAGAAGGAAGTACAAGAAAAACACATGGGCTTTTATGGTTCTATATTTGCCCAGGTTTTCCCCTCTTTTTGTTTACTTTTAAAATTGACATGTAATAATGAAAAGAGCCCACATTTACTGGTTGCACGCCGTAAGCTATTTTACATGCCATCTCATTTAATCCTACAACCCTGTGAGGTGGTGGTGGTGGTGGTGGTGATGTGCCGTGGAGTCGGAACCAACTCATAGCGACCCCATATAGGGTTTCTGAGGCTGTAAATCTTTACGGGAGCAGAAAGCCTCATCTTTCTCCCTTGGAACAGCTGGTAGTTTCAAACTGCTGACCTTAAGGTTTGCAGCCCAATTTGTAACCACTACGCTACCAGAACTCCTTAACCCTGTGAGGTAGATTGTCTTCATTAGTTATACTCATTTTAATAGGATGCTGAAACGGCAGAGATAAAGCACCTTGAACAGCTGGTCAGTGGCAAAGCCAGAATTGAATCCCAACACTACTTGACTTCAGAGACCACACTCTGAACAAGCGTATTGTCTTGTTTCTCAAACAGTGTTGCAGCAGAAACCTTTCCCAGGACACTGTTGGGTTCCTGGTGAACAAGATTAAGCTAAGGCAGCCACGAGCTGCGTGTCAGTGGCTCGGATCAAAGGGGGAGGGAAGGCTTCATCAAGTCTTTGAGCTCCAAATCTTTGAAAGAACACCATGTACTTTTTAAAAAATGTGTGTGCTTCATTTTTTATCTTACCAATTATTCGCTCATTTTCTTCTTTGTCTTTCTAGAAACATCCAGACGGTGTGGCCTCTGTGTCCTTCAGGGATCCAGAAGAAGCTGATACCTGTATCCAAACCCTCGATGGGAGGTGGTTTGGTGGCCGTCAAGTCACTGCTGAGGCCTGGGATGGGACTACAGATTACCAGGTAAATTCTGTACCTGTCGAGGACATATGAAGTATTTCATTACCTCACAGGCCTTCAGAGCTAAATTTTGGGTTCAGTGTAATCAGTTTAATGTAACAATGTTTACTTTAAAAAAATACCTTGCATTCAGAGACTAGAAAGAAAATTGTTCCAGTATTTCAATTTATAAATCTGAAGTGTGGCAGCTTGCTCAGATTAGTGATGAGTAAAGAAAAGAGCATGTTGTACCAAACAAAGCCTTTCTTGTCCTTTCTGTGTTGCAAAGTACAAGCAGAACTCAAATATTAACTTTTTGAGGAGCGGGCTATTTCCACAGTTCAGTGGTGTTATTGTTTATGTAAATGGTGTTCTGTAAGATCAACTGTAGTAAATCAAGATGTGAATTAAAGATGGGAAAGCATTTTCTTCCCTAAAAAGAGCTGCCTTAGAAGATTGGGTACTAGTCTCGGTATTAAAAATGCTCAGAAAAAGCTGTGACTTTCTTTTGGTCTGAAATGTAATGGCAGTGTTCATGTCTGCGCAGGTGGAGGCGACCACAAGAGAGCGAGAGCAAAGGCTGAAAGGCTGGGAGACTTTCCTCAATGAGCCTGACACCGACAGAGGAGGCCGGCGTTCTAGTCTCACCAGTGCCTCCGAAAGAGCAGGGCCTTCTAGGGTAAGGCAGTTTTCCGAGCACTCTGGCACATCTCAAATGAATGCCACTGCTGACCGGGCGTTTGAAGCACCTCAAGATGAAAAGAAGTTTGAAAACCCCGCAGATGGGGAAGAATCTGAAGAGGAGGCTGCTGAAAAGGCTGCTAGAGAAAGTAGCCCCAGTGAAGAGTCTGAAGACAGCAGCCCTGAAAAAGAGTCTGAAGATGGCGGCCTCAAAAGAGGGGCTGAGGAAGCCTGCCTGGAATGGGAGTCTGAGGAAGGCAGATTCAGCAGAGAGTCTGAAGAGAATGGCTCTGAAAGAGAACCTAAAAAGAAGAAACTCAAAAAAGATTATGAAGAGAATGGCTTTGAAAAAGAGCCTACAGAAGACAGCCCTGAAAAGGACTCTGAAGACGAGGAAGGTCCCCCAAAAGAATCTGAAGAGGATTCGGAAAGAGAATCTGAAGACGACGACGGCTCAGAAAACCAGTGGGAAGAGGACTCGGAGAAGGAATTGGAAGAAAATGGTCTTGAAAAAGACACTGATGAATCTGACTCTGAAAAAGAGTTTGAAGATATCCTTGAAAAAGAGTTAGAAGGTTCTGAAAAATCTGAATTTGAAGATGATGGCTCTGAAAAAGTGTTTGAAGAGGAAGATTCAGAGAGAGAGTCTGAAGAGGATTCAGATGAAAACGAAGACGATGATACATATGAAAAAGTGTTTGACGATGAGTCCAATGAAGCAGATGACGAAGGAAATGCAGATGAACAGGAGCTGGAAGATGGTGATGCTGACGAAGAGGACGAGGATGAGGAAGATGAGGCAGAGGAAAAGCTGTTCCAAGATTCAGACGAAAAGGAAGATGAAGAAGATATAGTTGAAAAGTTGTTTGATGATGACGATTCCGACAAGCTGTTTGATGAGGATTCCACCAGCAAGATGTTTGAGTCTGATGAAATGGGGACTCTGGGTTATTTGGGGACTCTTCAAGAAGAAGACCCCCTGTCCACAGGTAGCAGCTTTGTCCTCAGTAGTGACGATGATGAAGATGATGATGATTAAGCTGTTCACTTGCTTTTTTGGGAAATAACCTTGGTCTTACATTTGCCTCTGCTTCAGGGTAATTATTAGTAGATCATGTGCATAGTGGTAGGATGCCATCAGAGGCCATCAGATTAATGCATTGACATTTTTATTTTTACCTGTACTTAATAATTTTAAATATGTATTGTTCATTTTAAAGTTCATATTCATAATGCAAGTAAACTGGATACTTGTCCTTTTTGTCAAATTTGTTAAACGCATGCAGAATAATATTTTTTAACGTATTCTGACCGAAGTTTATGATATTCCAAAATAAAAACTAGCTGGCAATATGCAGAGACACAAAATTGGACTGGAGTGAAACTGCCTTTTAAATTCCTGCTGCTGTTTATTCGTATTAAAGTTGGGTGTTTCTGAGGACTTGTAAATCCCTAGAAGTCTCCCTGCTTCCAGTTTATGCTACCGTTAGTTTTCATTTCCCATCTCTGAACCAGAATGGTGGCCAAAAACTCATAAATACACTTTGGAGTTGTTTCTTTGCCCAATTCTTGCAAGTTACTTTTGCTTTCTTTTCTACCTCTTTCCATTAAAATGTACTCTTAGATGGGTGAAAATAGATCTCCTGAAGTCTCCAGAGTCTATCATTGTTGGCAATGTAGAGGGGAATAAGAATTCTATTGTATACTATTTCTTAGCCATTGGGGCCACTTTAGAATTTGATTAAAACTGCAGAACCTCTCCCTAAGAAAATGTGCACATGCTATTCTGTAAGCTGTATAATAGGTGTACAACTTACACAACTTGTGTACAGTCTAAGCCTAATGGCGCTCCTCAAGTTGAAGAACTTCTTTTGTATTGCTTACTTCTGTTTCCTGATTTTATTTAAGAGTCACAGTGCCTCCCACAGTGCTCCATTGTGTAGCCCCAATAGAATTTGGGGTCTTTTCTTGATTGTACTTTCCAAATTCTGTATTGGTGAATTTAATTCTGATGTAGATTTAAGATGTTATTCTCGCAAATTAGAAGCATTAAAATAAAATGCGTTGCTGCTTTTCATCATAGTGTCTAAGTGTAATCATTACCTTCTTTGGTCAGAATATAGTTCCTGTTTTTGTTCTGAGAAGTTTTTGGTTGATCTCTGAACTCCTGAAAATCTTCAGGATTTTCACCAGGGATGATGGAGTAAAAGAGGAGAAGCGAGTTACATCCAAAAAAAAAAAAATTGAAAATCTAAAATAATATTCCCTTTAAGGATAAGCTAACAGCATTTGAACACTCCATTGGAGAATTGGTTTTCTAAAGGTAGGCATTCTTATGCCTACCTTCTTGCACACAAAGGTTGAGACAGACAACTCAACAGATTTTAATAGCTCTAGTATCATTCAAAAGGGGTCATTTCCATTATTTACATTTAAATATGTAATGTTGGAAATCTAGACACTGTCAAAAGGCAAGATACAGCTTAGTTTTGTTCAGATAGGAATCTTGGTATCCTTTTGGGATCGATCGGACATAAGAATGTAGTAAGTTTTCAATCATTTTTAGGCTGCATTGCCAACCATCGCAAGTAGACATGTTGCTCCTGAGAGAATGTGTGTGTATGTGATGAGTTTCAGTTCTGAAGGATGCTGATGATGTCTGCCCTGGGCTCACTAATTTGAATGAAATACTCATGCTCTTTCATATAAATGTGTAAAGAGAAAGTCACAAGTGGTACACTTGTGGTGACATTGGTAAATCAAATGAATAAAGTCATGAAGCATTTTACACACATGTACTTACTAAGTCAAATTATATTGGTCCTATAAATGAATTTTTGTGTCTGAGGCAACAACATATCCTATTGTCGAAAGAAAAGTTTAGGGGTGAATTTTAAGCACAGTCATACTCAACATTTAACTGACAGAATTTCAAAAACAATTGAAAGGGACTCTAGTGTTAGAGTGAGCTAAACATTGGGCTGCTCGCCTAAAGATCAGTAGTTGGAGCCCACAAGTTGCTCCAAGGGAGAAAGATGTCTGCCTGCTTCCATAAAGACTCCGAGTCTCAGAACCCTTATGGGGCAATTCTGCTCCATCCTCTAAGGTGGACTGAAGTTGGAAGTAATGTCAGTCCTGATTTTCTGGCTATATAATTTAAACATAAACAATTTACTGAACCCCAAATACCAAACCCAATCCCATCAAGTCAATTCCAACTCATTGTGACCCTATAGGACAAAGAGTTGCTCCTGAGGGTTTCTGAGGTTATAAATCTTTGTAGGAGCAGAATGCTGCCAAGGAGCAAATGGTGGTTTTCAACCAGAAAGTATAATGTGTTCAACGCTGAATGCATTATCTGGAAGTGGCTTCAGGGGTACTTTTTGGTGCCTAAATGAACTGCTGTCAATATGTCTCCAAGTCCCTTGCATAGGAACAAACTTGAAACTTAACTGTTAGAATATTAAAATATTACCGGTTCTGCCAGCATTGATAAAATATTAAAAATTGTTACTGCTTCCTACAAAGAAGCCTGATAGGATAAAATGCGAACATTATGTCTTGATGTCCAGAGTATTTCTTCCTTCCCTCCTTTCTCAAGAGATGAGAATTCAGCTCATCTTGAAGCCCCAAGAAACAGTTCCATCATTTAGAACGCCAGCCTCTTTCTAAGAGTACCATTTTCTTGATGTAAGTTATTGGGTGATTTCTGAGGACTTGGACAGAAGATTGTTAAGATGCCATCAAGTTGGTTCCGACTCAGCAAAGAGATGGTAGAAATTAATATTCTGATTATACTTTTAACTAATCATTTTAATCTTGTTTTTAAAACTAAACCAAACATTTAACTATAATGCCTAGAAACACTGATAATTTGAACTATGCCCTAACAGAGAACAGAGGAAAGCAGCTCGCTCGCTCGCTCGCACTCTCTCTCTCTCTTTCTCTGTCTCTCTCTCTATATATATAGATAGATAGATAGATGGATGGATGGATGGATAGATAGATAGCGTAGTGGTTACGAATTGGACTGTGAACCTTAAGGTCTGCAGTTCGAAACTACCAGCTGCTCCGTGGGAGACAGATGAGGCTTTCTGCTCCCGTAAAGATTTACAGCCTCGGAAACCCTGTGCAGGGTCACTATGAGTCGGAACCAACTCGACGGCACTTAACAACAACATATATATATATAACCAAACATATAAATAACCAAAAGACTGTGTGAAGAAGGCATCTAACCTTTGGTGCCCCAGAAGGGATAGAGAAGAACAGTCAGATTCTGCCCAAGTCCCATGACACTGAGATCAGACATGACCTCAGTTGCCTTTACCAATTCTGACACTATCACCCCCACAGATCTCTACCCAGCTGGGTTCAATAATTCATTGCAGTGGCCACACATAATTCAGACACCATGCTCACAGTTAGGGGGGTTTATTTGGGAAGTTAACAGGTTACAATTCAAGACTAGAAATGCTCAGCGCACACTTTTTCTAGTCAGTACAGCCTCTCCTTGACTTGGGCCCTTAGCCTGATCTCTCCCCTGCTTGGGCGATGTCGTTCTTAAGTGTTGTCGAGTTGGTTCCAACTCATAGTGACCCTATATAGGCTTCCATGGAGAGGCTGGTGGGTTTCAATTGCAGATCTTGTGGTATGCAGTCCAGTGCTAATCCTGCAGTGCCACCCCAGGAATGTCATTGGGCAATGTTACAAAGCTCTTTTAGGATGGCTGAACAAATGCCCAAAGGGCACCCCACTATGCTATAAGCTTCAGCCCAAAGGCCCTCAGTTCTAGTTCCATGAATCAGTAAACCTAACTCTCCCATATAAGTGGCTAGAGGCCCCCCACACCACAAGCAAGCTTCCTGCCCGAAGGCACTCAGCTTTCCTTGCTCTGTTGGCTGGGAAATCCACCACTCTTGTCTCCTGCTCGGGCTCTGGTTCTGTGGCTACTTCTCTGTACTCCTTTGGTGTCAGGGCTGTGTCTCCAGAATCAAAGAGGTTCAACATGCAAGATCTCGGGGCACAAAGGTTGTGCTCCACACATGGCACTTCAAGCTTGATGGCAGGGAGATCCCCTGTTCCTGCTTCTGAGATGGCTGATTTTCTATCCAAGTTAGAGTTCCAAGTTCACTCACAACGGAATCATAATAATCCTATCAGCATCTTCTTTCACCTTTTCTTACCCAGGCCCATCAGGAAAAAACAAATCTGTGGGAGTTACAAAGACTGTGGGTAAAAGAGCCAAATGGAGCAATTCACTGCATCAGTGTATCAAATTTGCCCTCTGTGAAGGTCTAACATGTTCTTGGTTTGTTAGTACCAAGATAATGTGAGATATTCTTACTGGTTTGTTTTTTTTTTCCTAAATTGAGTATCTTTCCAGATACACAGTGAATGCACTTTTTGTTTGTCTTTAAGAAACTATTCACAAATCATATACTTTGTTTCATCGCAATGATTACAGTCCCCTCCCTGCAACAACAGTTAATCCCGCTTCCTCCCTGTGCTTCTGTGTTTCCCTTCCACCCACCTTCCCATCCCTTCTCAGCTTGGTCCTTAGCTAAATGTTGCCCTTTTGATTTTGAATGATTGACCATTCTATGGTGAGCACACCTCACTAGCGCTGTTGTCCCATGCCCCCCCCCCCAATACCTATCTGCTGCTTGGCTGAAAATTGGGTCATAAGGGTGAGTTCTTTTCCAGACCTGAAGCGGGGCTTGAGGGCCATAGTCTCGGGTTCCTTTTGTCTCTTTCTGACTAGTATACCTGATTTTTTGTGGTGGTGGTTGTTGTATTAAATCATTCTGAGTTTTGCTCCACATTTTCTCCCACTCTATGAGGGACCCTTTCAAATGAATGCCCTTTTTGGATAGTTGTTTCAATTCATTGCTCAAATGATTTTTGTCTCTGACCACAGCCTACATATATGTCTCACTGTTTCTCTAAGTCCATGTAAACACCTTCAATGATCTAAGAGAAAATATTAAAGGCATTCTTTTCTAAAATCTCAAATTAATACCGCAAATTACCTAAATT